CCGCACCGGTGGGTGTCGCAGTATGGAACTTGACGGCCCCTTTAGCTGTTCCGTTCTACAGGCCATGTGTTCTCTAGAACGACTTCAGCGTCAATTAGATAGTGAGCCACGTAGAAAATATTCTAACCAAGTTATTGGTTATTTTGAACTTAAATACGTGCTTGTAATCGAGTCTGTCAGAGCAGCGGGGACGTTTCTGAGAAGCCTGCTTCCGAAGGCGCAGGCCTCGAGCTCTGCGGGGCCGGGGCAGGACAGGGCGTTGCCACCGTGAACCTGTGCAGGGGCCCGGCGTGCTTCCGAAAGCGCACGTCGTCCCCGCTCCCTGCTGACCTTCCAGATGACACCGTGTCGGTGATTGGCAGTGGGAACTATCTGATTTCCTTCTCGAGCCCTCTAGACGACTCGCGGGTCGTTCTGGATGTCTGAGGCAGTGTGCCAGGTTTAGCCGAGAGAGGAAAGCATGAACAAATGACAAACGACGGTCCGCAGGAGCAGCAGGACACGTTTCCCCGCACGTGATCAGTTGCCAGATGAACGAGACTGATGATAAGTGCTCCGGAAGTTCGGGGTGCCCCTAGCCGTGCCGAAGGGAGTCTCGTCGGACTCTGTGCAAAAATGCGTTATGCCCTGTTCCGAGGCCAAGTTTCTGGCAAAAATCCTTTCCCCGTTGTCTTCAGATATAAAAAGCGTGTTACCACAGACCCAAAAGAAATACTTCTTTTTTCTGTTGTACAGTCATAAGGGGGAAATGCAGGAAAAGAGATAAAGGCAATAGGAATATAAATAGAAAAACTTTTCCTTGATATGCATGTTTTCAAACACGGAGGGTTATATCGTGTGGCTGCCAGAATTTAATGCTTCCGTTTTGAAAAACAAAAATTCTAGCCTACTCTTTTATTTCGACAGAAAATTTGTATCTGAAATTCATAATTGGGAAGCTACAGCTTGATTTTAACCTCCTGGAAACTTTGAATGCTAAATTTTCTCCGGAAATGCTTGGATTTTATAAGTTTTAAAATAACCGGCTACACGTTGAGAGTCCTTAACCGTGAATTTAGAAATACCGAAAGCATTCAGATTTCCGATGGAAGTGTGGAGTCGTGAAACGCTAAATGGGTTCACGTTTTGTTAAACATCGCTCTAGCGCTTCTGCTAGGCTAGTTGGTGTTGCCCACTCTGCGTTATGACAAATCTTGCTGCTGCATCGTTCACTTTCAGCCTCATTATCCTCGGGCTGTCACAAGTAAATAAGGATGTTTGAGAAAGATCTCGAAAGGAATCTGAGAATGCAGAATTGGACATTAGCCTCAGAGCAACTCGAGCCTCGTTTCTCTTTGAGGAGCCTTTGTTCCAATGCGAGGGTTAAAAGAATAGATTGTTTTTAATGATTTGTCACTTGTAAAAACACATAGATAAGGATGGCAAGTGAAGAATGTGCCCTTTGTCTCCATTTTATTCTCCAGCGAGTTGGTTGTGGACCACTTGCTCAGGCATCCTTTCCAGAACTGAAAATTCAGCTCATCTGTTTGAAGAACAGTTGATCCTCTCTGACTGTCTTTTTGCCTTGAATCAGAGATTTTCTCCTTGGTGGCTCCCGGGCCACAGAAACGCAGGCAAGCAGCCTTGTTTGCCCGCGTGCTGGAATGGGGTGGGGTGGCTTCAGCTCCACACCGGTCCTAGAGGAGAAGCCACCAGCCCCGCCCAGTCAAGAGTCTCAGCCTTGGTCACCAGATCTTCTCAAAAGCAGTTCGGTTTTTTTTTTTCCTTTCCTTGCAGTAAAATATTTACTGTAATTTCCTGTCTTTAATATCAAGATGTTCCTTATTTCCTATGAGAGCCAGGACAAATGTACTATTTCAGAGGCAGTTTTGAAAGATGCAGAGTTTTTCTAAAAATGCTAATGCTCAGAGAGCACGTTACACAAGCAGAATAATTTTGCATGAAAACGAGACCTACTCTTTGAGGTCTTTGGAAGCCGGAGGCGGAGGCGAGGAGTCTGGACGGAGACTGTTTGGTCTGTGAGAAGCTCAGGGAGGGGACGGGCCGGTGCGGCCCGCGTGGGGGACAGGCGCTGGCGTGCTTTTGGGCCCCCGGGCACCCCTTCCCGTGGTGTGTCCCGCCCCGCGCCGCGGGCCCGCTCGGGTGCTGCTGGTTCCCGAGCCTCGGAAACGCCATCGCGCTGCTTTTCAGGGCTTTCGAGAAACGGGCACCGTTGGCTTTGGCCCGGCACGTGGGCTTTGTTCGCTTGGCTCTGTGGCCACGTCCTGTACCCAGTGACGTGTGGCTGGCTTCTGTGTATGCGAGGCCTGTGACTGCTTCCTAAGTGTCTGGGAGGAAGCGACGTGCTGGGAGCAGTGTTTTAGGATGTTGGTGACGGTTCCGTCACCTGGTGTTTTTAGCGCCGCTGCTGCCGGCACCAAGCACAGAGCGGAGAGTCCCAGGGTGGTGGCGGGAGCGGGCCCTGGGGTCGCCCCCGACGGCCACGCCCACCCTCACCGTGACCCTGCCACCGCCCCGCTGTCGGGGCCTGTCCTCCCCTGGCTGTGACGCTCTGGCTCGCCCTCGTCTCTCTCGCTCACCTGGCCCGGAGTCTGTGTCCCCCACGACAGCGGAAGCTTGCCGAGGACAGGGACTTGTGTCTGTTTTGTTCACGGCCGCGTCCCCGGGGCCCGGGACATGGAGGAGGCTCAGTCAGTACCTGCCAAATGCAGGAGAGAGGCGACAGCGACCCGTGGGGGCCGGACCTCGGCAGGGGCTGGAGCGGGGAGCCGCGGTCCCGCTTCTCGGCGCGGGTGACTGTCGCGTGAGCCCCCGGGTCCCCCCTGCAGGCCGGGTTAGCTGGAGAAGCCCTGCGGGTGGCGCTGTCGTCCAGAGAGGACCGGAGGGTCTCCATGGTGGCGCTGGCCGCGTGGACGGGACAGAGACCAGCTCGGGGAAGGCTGGCCGCGAGCAGAGGGGACGTGGCCAGGTGACACGGGCGGCTCGAGGAGCTGCCTGCCTCTTGTCCTTGTTTTCAGACGAAACTAAAACTAACAATAAACTCTGCTCAGTTGCATGTTTTCCTTTAGAAAGACAAGAAACGTTCTGTAGAAACTTTACAAATATATTTTACGCAAGAAGCTGCCACACGCTTATCGGTTCGTAGAATTTGCGTCAGCCCAGCCCCAGCGACCAGCCGGGGACTGACGCTCAACCAGCCCTTCCTGTCGCTGGCGGAAGTGCCTCCTGCTGGCTTCGAAATGATAGCTCATCTTTTTAAGTATGGTCTAGTCTCCCCTCCTGTCCAGTGGCTGAAACTTCCTCCTCCATCTCGCATCCTTCCAGCCCGGGTCTCTGTGAGCACAGCGCCACCTGCCTTCGGCCAGCGGCAGCGTGAGTGCCGACAGCCCTGTGTCACCTGCGGGCCCCTCCAGGTGACCGGTCCCGCTCAGCATTCCCTTCCCAGGCACGGGGCCTGCGGCCCGGAGGGAGCAGGTGGCAGGTGGCAGGTGCTCGGTGCAGAGCCGGGATGCACATCCTGATGTGTTCGCTTGCAAAGCCCCCGCGTTTCCCAGCGCAGGTGTGGCGGCAGACTGTTTCATTTAAAGTTTTTGTTTTTGTATCTTTTTGTGCCTCTTAGAGCCACCCGTGTATTTTGGGATTTCTTGCTAGTTTTCGTTTTTGCGATTATAGATTTCCTATTAACTTTAGATTTCTTTAATCCGTGACGAATGAACATTAAAATTCCGTGTCTTCCACGAAGCCTTCTGATTTGCCGGTACTGAATTATTATAGTTCCCCCAAAATGAAACTTTCTTTTTCTTTTTGTAGGAGTGGATGTGTCGCTGCCCTTTGGGAGAATGCATCTTTAGTTTCCAAGTCGCACTTATGCGAGTAAAATTACCTTCCTGTTAAAATTCAGCGCAGCCGACACTTCCTGAACACTGGCCTGTTTTCGCTAAAGAATCAGCGGGCCCCGGGGCACACGGGAGCCCATGCCCGGCCTGGGCGCTCGCGCTCCGGGCCGCAGCAAACATGCTGACCGCTGTCCGCAGTCGCTGGCCCGAGGGCGCCTGGTCGTCGAGGCCTTACTGTACGTTCATTTAACTCAGTGTGTTAAAATCAAATTCTAAATGTAGAATTTTTCCTAGGTATGCCTTGCAATAGCTCATTATTCCCAGCCAACTGACCTCCAGCTACTCTTTGCATTTGAATATGTTGGGAAAAAATACCACAATTCAGGTAAATATGAAAATGTTAAATATTGTGACTAACTGTACATTGTATAAATTTTATTCGTATGTTTATCGGAAGCCTCCAACTGCATAAGCTTTGATGGTTGTAGAGTTTTTAGAATTATCATTAGATCCTTAGAGAAGTAAACGCTATATATTAAAAGAGACGATATTTGGCAGGTTATTTCTTAAGAAGTGACCAGGGAGAACCTATAAGCAGCTGTCGCAGGAATCAGGTCAGCATTTTATCCATAGTCACTGGCTGGAATTTTATGATGAAGAAAGTACATCCCCCTTTAATTGGTAACTCGAGTTAGTCTTTTAAGAAAACCAGCAGAAAATTAAAAGATACCTGATTTTTTTTAAAAGAGAAAGAAAAGGCTCATTCTGACAAGGTACGGTTGCAGGCAGCAGCCGCAGAGGCTGGACTAGGGCGTGGGCCGTCATGGCCGTGGGAGACGGCCTTAGATCTCCGAGTGCGTGACGGCGGGGTGGGGGGGGCGGGGTGCACGTCTGTCAGGGGACAGTGTGCTCCAGGGACTCGATGTGCGGGGTCCTGCCCGCCACGACGTCACCGGGGAAAGGCCAGGCCGCCGTGTGCTCTGTCCACTCTTCTCATAGACTGATGCCATTGCAATCAACCATTCAAAAGAAACGTCAAAAAAGGTAGAGGGAGAACACGTCTCGTTCCAGCCCCGGGCGGGTTCCTGGCCCCACGTCCGCTCGCCCACTGAGTCACATGTTCTCCCACTCGTGAAGGAAGAAAAGAAATCGGTTACGTATTTATACTGAAATATCCATTCACCCCAGCATGGTCTGGACGGGGGATCTTATAACGAGTCACGTGTTCTCCCACTCGTGAAGGAAGAAAAATCGGTTACGTATTTATACTGAAATATCCGTTCACCCCAGCATGGTCTGGACGGGGGATCTTATAAATCGTTCATTGTGCTGGTCTTTTACGTTTCGTTACCTCAAAACGTATGGTGATAATTTAAATAATCTGTGTGACATGAGTATGTGCCAGCGTCACTGTCCCGTAAATACGTAAAAGTGTAGCAGTGATACGTGCCGTCCGCGGACGCATACGGGATGAGCGCATTTTCACTGCTTTAAAAGATGCTCGTCAACGTGACGCGACGTATGCAAGTCGTGCCTCACAGGACGGGTAGCTTTTTAATGGCGCTGTGTTTATGGAAATTGGATGGCTAAGCATTCCTAACTGAATCTTTCTTATCAAAATATACTAATCGTAACCCAGACTCGAACAATAGCAGTGTTCAGTTTATTTTTTAACATAAAGACAGTTCACATATCGTCTAGAGAGTCGTGGCTCCTTGCCCTGCTAGCCGGGCGAACGTTCCTTTGGGTCGTCAGAAGCCGTAGACCACCATCGTCGGGGTCAGCCGAGTAAGCCCCTCACCCAGAGCTGCAAGAGCGGGGCCGAGCGGACGTTTCAAGAGATGCAAAATCTGTAGGAGAGAGTCTGATTGCCGCTCAGATCTGTCTGTGATCCCGGCCGATTCTGGCACTTTCGATGGAAGCGGTTC